AATTATTATAGGTACATAATAGTTGTATATCTTTATAGGGTACATGTGATGTTTGATACAGGCATACAATGTGTATTAATCAAATCAGGGGAATTGGGGTACCCATCACCTCAGGCATTTATCATTGCTTTGTGTTAGGAACACTCCAATTTCACTCTTTAGTTATTTTAAAGCATACCCTAACTTGTTCTCGATTTTAGTCACTTTGTCGTGCTATTAAATACTGTTCATTCTATCTAACTATGTTTTTTCCCACCTTTTTTTCCCATTCTTTCATGCATGATTTTCCAGACGACTCTGCAGCAGGGGTAGCGACAGCAGAGAGAACGGACAGCAACAGGAAACGACGACGGGAGTCAAAAGGGTTGAGCCCATCACTGTTGCTTTTATATTCTCTCTTTCTCTGTCCTTCTCCTGCTTGGCCTCAGGGGTAGCACAGTTATAGAGATGAGTGGTTTCTGGCTGGCGGAATGAAAAGGAAAGCTCCAGAAGACTGGAAAGTACTGAGAGATAGTGAAGAGGCAGCTGCTCAGGAATGCAACCCCATAAAGCTGTTTATGATCTCCTAGGCTCGTCCTGGGTAGGCTCCTAGGCATGGATTGCATTCTAACTCACATACCAAAGATGCTGGGATGGGAGTGGAGCTAATGGATAGAACTCCTTCTGGGTCCCAGACCGACCACTGGGTGGCACACATGTGGCACAGATCCTAACAGAACCCAATAGAAAGCAGGTTGGAATTTGTGGCCTGAACCTAAACAAATACATCTCCTACTAAGACAGCTACAACAACATTCTTCAAAGGATTTAAATAAGACTCAGGGTCTAATAACATAATATTCAAAATGTCTAGGACACCACCCAAAATTACTTGACAACACAAAGAAGCATGAAAATCTCAACCTGCATAGGACAAGATAATCAATAGATGCCAAAAACAAGACGGCACAGATGTTGGAATTATTTGACAAAGACCAAGACAGCACTTATAAAGAACACTCAAGTAAGCAATCACAAACAGCCATGAAACAAAACTCAAAACAGAAAATATCAGCAAAGAAGTAGAAGATATAAAGAATAATCAAATGAAAATTTTAGAACTGAAAAATAAAACAACGGAAAAAACTCACTGAATGGACTCAATAGCAGAATAGAGATAACAGAGGAAAGAGTCAATGGTGTACCTGATGATAGATCGATATAAATTATCCAGTCTGAGCAACAGAGAGAAAAAAGATTGGAAGAAAAAGGACCAGAGTCTCATGGATTCATGAGACAACAACAAAAGGGCTAATGTGGCCAAGCGTGGTGGCTCACACCTATAATCCCAGCACTTTGGGAGGCCAAGGTGGGCGGATTGCTCTAGGCCAGGAGTTTGAGATCAGCCTGGGCAACATGGTGAAACCCCATCTCTACAAAGAATTAAAAAATTAGCCAGCCAGATGTGGTGGCATATTCCTGTAGCCCCGGCTACTTGGGAGGCTGAGCCCAGGAGTTCAAGGTTACAGTGAGCTATTATCACACCAGTGCACTTCAGTGTGGGTGAGATAGTGAGACCCTGTCTCTAAAAAAAAGGGCTAATGTGTCATTGGGTTTTTAGAGAAGAAGAAAGAGTTCAGGGTCAAAAAATTATTTGCAGATCACATGGCTCAAAACTCCTCAAGTGTGGTGGAAAGCATAAAACTGTCGATTCAAAAAGCCAAACAAATCCAAAACAGGATAAACCCAAAGAAACCTATACCCAGGCACATCATAATCAAATTGCTGAAAACTCAAGTCAAATAAAAATGCTTGAAAGCAATGAAAGAAAAATGACAGATTACATATAGGGGGATAATGATTTCAGGGACAAAGAGAAGTACTATATATTGAAAACGGTCAACTCACTAAGAAGACATAGTGATCCTAAATGTGTATGTGCTTAGCAACAGAGCTTCAAAATACACAAAGCAAAAGTTGTCAGAACTGAAAGGAGAAATAGACATCCGACCCCTCTGTCGGCAATAGATTCAAGTAGACAGAAAATCAGCAACGATATAGAAGAACTGAGTACCATGAACCAACTGGATCCAATTGACATTTATGGAACATTCCACCCAACGACAGCAGATACACATTCTTCTCAAGTGCAGGTGGAATATTTCAGTCATTGGAATCATTATTGGATCCTCACTTAGAGAGACTTGAGTGTGATCTCCAGGGACAGAGCAGAATTTGACCGTAATGAAGAAACTGGAAAGCTCGTCTGCTCTATCACACTCCATCTGAAAGAACATCGAATTAGAGGAGGAAAATGGACTAAAAATGGGCAGCCTGAATAGTAAGCAAGACAGGATAGATCCTCCCTCCTTGGGGAAAAGGATCTTCTCAGCAGTTTCCTGCTATGGGGAAGTTGAGTTTGTTTCCTGAATATTCCTCTGCACTATCTGCCTCACAGAAGGAGATGTCTGGAACATGGATGTGAATCCCCTGCTGCTTGGAAAGGGCTTGTCCTTAGTGGGACAGAATAACCGAGAGTCTTGGTTTATTCTTCATTATCTAGTAGCAAGTACAGACAGGTCAGACCTTGGGTGTGGTGATACCTTCAGGATACGACCACCTTGAGATTCTATCTAGACTATAAGATGATGCCACCCTTTTCTGGGCCTGGGACACTTCTGAGCACCTGTTGAGAGCCAAGATCTCGCTCTAGAAACAGGTTCTCCGGTGCTTCTATCACATGCATGCCACTAGTAGGTACACCCACAATGATGCCTACAATTTTAAGGGGTCTCCTGACACCTCAGAGCCTCTAGGTTAAAAAGTCAGGCCTTGGAGAACATCTTCATTTTTGTCTCACAAAGTGCCACAGAATTGTAAACTTCTAGCCATAAGAGAGAGAAAATCAATTTCATCAGGAGGTGAAGTATCTAAGCATGTTTCTTTATCCTGCAGAAATTACTGGCAGAAGGGCTTCTGATGGATTCTCATCTTTAATCTTTCAACCCGTCCTGGACGATATCTATGGTTGTGTAAAGTCCAGGAAGATGGAGAACGGTCTACAGCCAGCTGCTCAGGTCTCACCTGCCTTCCACGTTGAACTTGAATGGAGCCAGGACAGCATGGTCAACAAAGTGAGGGACAGCGTGGGGAGGTGGAAACAGCAGAAATGGAGAATCAACTTCAGCAAACTTAGAGGGTTATTACAATGGGAGGGAAATGAGGAATATGTGTGAAATACATTATCTAATTTCAAACTGTAGTTAAAATCCTTTCAAGCTGCACGTGAGTCATTCTGCAACCATCATAGTTAAAGGTTGGTTCAAGCAACAATTGTCAATGAATGTAGACCCTAAGGGAGGAATGTTGATGAGGACCAGGATATCTGCATGGATTTAAAGTATCTCCCCACATTGTACCCAGCCTCTAAGATAGCTCCTAAGGGTCCCTGCCTTCCAGTATTCACACCCTTATGTAGTTTCCCTCTGCTATTGTCTATGTGACCAATAGCATGCAGCAGAAGTGATGGTATGTCACTTCCGGGATTGGTTAAAGTAAGACTGTAGCTTCCATCTTGGGCTCTCCTTTATCACCAGCTCTGGGGGAAGCCATGTCCTGAGCAGCCTCAGGGAGAGGCCACGTGGTAAGGAACCGAAGCCTCCTGCCAACCCCCTAGGTGAGTGAGCTTGGAAGCAGACCCTCCAGGCCTCTTCAGGGAGTCCAGCCTCTTCCAAGGCCGCAGCCCTGGCCGACAGCCTGACTACGACCTCCTGAGGTGGCCTGAATTAGAAGCATTCAGCCAAGCTGCACCCAGATTCTTGGCCTTCAGAAACTATGTGAGATAATAAATATTTGTTGTTTTAAAGCCACTAAGTTTCAGGGTAATTTGTTATCCAGCAATATACAACTGACAAATTCCACAAATTGTTTATAAATTGCAATTAAAAATAATCACTATGCAGCAGAGAAACCTGACAGGACCTTAAGTGGGTGATCAAAATGAATATCACCAGGGAGGGGCAGAAGGACATCGTGTGCCTCCAAATGGGATCCCCTGAGAACATTACTTACGTGGTAGTCCGGCCAAGAACACACAACAGCAACCTAATCGCAAGGAGACATCAGACAAATACAAAAGGAGGAATGTTCTATTTTTAAAAAGGGGGGGCGTTGAGTGGAATTATATTCCTTACAAATGGCAATGTCATAAAAAACGAAGAAAGGCTATGGAAATGTTCCAGGTTAAAAAATATTAAAGAGATGTGACAATTAAATGCGACACACACTCCTAGACTAGATCCTGTATTGAAGGGGAAAACGGTGTAAAGAACCTTGTTTGGACAAGTGACAAAACTGGAATCGAGATAGTACATCAGATAAAATCATTGTATGTTAAACTTCTTTAAGTTGATCGCTGTAACTGTGGCCACGTAAGAATCTGTCAACTTTCTTGGGAAATTCACACTGCAGTATTTTAGGGGTAATGATACATGACATTGCAACCTATTCTCAACTAATCCTGGAGGTAAATGTGTTTAGATACACACAGAGAGCAAAGGACAAAACAAGTAGAATACAGTGTTAACAACAGGTGAATCTACGTAAAGACTACACATGTGGTGTTTGTCCTATTCTTACTTTGTTCTGTAAGTTTGAAATTATTTCCAATTTGAACATCAATAACAACAAAACCTCTGGATTTAAAACTCATTCAAACCACCAAAGTGCCATACAGATTTTGGTCTCTGCTAAAGACAGAAATTGAAAAGAATATCTAGGAAGATTTTCTCATAGGATTTTTTCTTTTGAGTGATACAAGTTACTCAGGCAATAAAATAAAAGAACCCAAGACCCGTTATGAATAACGCTTTTGCCACCACAGCAGTGGTCCTTTTGCCACCACAGGACTTTCTAAGTCATAGCATTTCCTCCAAAGCTCAGTAAGTGGGCGCTAAAGAGAAATCATACCAGCAAAGTATCTCCCGGCGGGATCCACCTTCCCGTCGTTGAATCGATTGTTTTTCTTGTCTTTATCCACTGTGGCCAGGGCAACTATTGATCGATCTTCCCAGTTCAAAGCGCAGAACTTTGTTCCGATGGTGGCGACATAGCCTCCTGACTGGCGAAGGGCCACAGAGCTGACCGGGGCATCTGTAGAGGCAAAAGCAGCAGTTAGGAGGCAGCAGCGACCCAGTGGCCATTGTCAAAACAGCTGGGCTCCTTCTCTTCCTTCTGTTGAGTAGGAAAGGCTCCGTGACTAAGTATATTTGTTGAGCACAAACTCTGTGTGCTGTTCTGGGCAGCAAGGATAGAGAGAATAAAACCCAACTCCGCTGGAAGCTTCTAGTCTAGTGGGAGAAGCAGAGGAGTCAAACCACAGCAGCTGCAAGACATTTGGGCAGTTGCCACATCAAGTTCGCAGGAGGGGTTCCTAATCTAGGGGCACCAGGACAGTCACAGAGCAAGTGATGCTCAATTTTGCCTGACCTCCAGGAAATTCAGAGACACAAACTGTGTTTAGTTACAGCAACTAGGTTTTGTGACATCTCTCTCCCCCTCCAGTACAGGACTTGTCTTTTTTAAGGGACCCTATTTTATATCTATTTAATTGAAAATTGTTTCTCAAATCCTTTTTGGAAGTAAGCATGGTAAAACTAACAGATAGAAGTGTAGATGCAGTGACAGTACAACCACATCTCTTCATTGTATATTTTGTATTTTCAAATTTTAGGTTTCCTGGGTTATAAGAAAACTTTTTTTTTTTAAAGTGGAGAGATTGATTACCGTGGTGAGCAGTCACAGGAAATAAATTGATCAGGATTGGTTTTGAAAACATTTCCTAAGCACCTCTTCAGTGCAAAGCGATGGGAGCTCCAGGAGCAGCTCGAACTCTGCTCCCAGGTTGATTTGAGCCACGGAGCATTCCAGGGGAGGTGCAGGACATTATTCGGAGGCTCACACTCTCATCAGAGATCCCAACCTGCAGCCTGAGACTTCTCCTGGTAGCTCCCTAAGCTACTGCTCACACTACAAGCCCTTTCCATGGTTGGGTCGGGGGGCTTTGTGGATTAGGGGCAGGCATGTGTGCACGCTGAGAAACAGACTAGGGAAGGCAATGGGTTCCCATCCCGGCTCTGCCCTCAGAGGTCACAGTCACTTTGCCTCCAGCCACAGTCATATTTCTGGGTGAATTAAAAAGCTTTTCCTGGTGGGGCGCGGTGGCTCACGCCTGTAATCCTAGCACTCTGGGAGGCCGAGGCGGGAGGATCACTTGAGGTCAGGAGTTCGAGACCAGCCTGAGCAAGAGCGAGACCCCATCTCTACTAAAAATAGAAAAATTAGCCAGGTGTGGTGGCACATGTCCGTAGTCCCAGCTACTCGGGAGGCTAAAGCAGGAGGATCACTTGAGCCCAGGAGTTTGAGATTGCTGTGAGCTATGATGACGCCACTGCGCTTTAGCCCAGGGAGACAAGAACAAGACTCTGTCTCAAAAAAAAAAAAAAAAAAAGCTGTTCCCTCTCATTAAAAAAAATTTGAGGTCCCCAGTTCTAGGTGGAGAAAGAGAGAGTCCCTAGGTTACAGGAATTCCTGGTATTTTTTCCCATAAGTACAATGAAAACAAGAAACTTTTTCTCCACAATCATGTCAAGCTTCCCTTGGGCCACCTAAAGTGATAAACTCCTTCTCTGGAATTCATAGGGCCATAAAGGGAACTGCACTCACACACACATAAAATTCTGCCATGAATCCTGTTGTGTGCGGTGGACAAAGATAGTCCTGGATGATGCTTTTTGAGTCCAAAAACTCTTCTTTATGGTCAAAGAAGGGAGATACCCATTATTTTTTTTTTTTTTTGCAAATTGAGGTCTTGGCCTGACCCAAGGTAGACAACAGGTCCGTAACTTCCCAGGCTGTTATCTGCAGGTGTTAAGGAAAGACAGACACTGCAGTGCCTTGGCATCCCGATAAAACTGGCAATGTTGCCTCTCACTCCAAGAGGAAGAGGAAAGTACCACCCAGAATTTACTCATGGGTCAAAGTGGGAGACATGGAGCGTGCACACAGAGAGCGAGACAATCGCCAACATTTCAAAGCATATTCAGTATGCTTCGACAAGAAGGGCCCCCGGGAGTGACAGACGCCCTTCCCCGGGGAAAAGGCGGCTGACTGCGAAGATCTGAGCGCAGCCCGCGTCCTTACCCACGGTCACTCGCTGCAGTTGCTTGGTGAGCGTATTCCACCGGCAAACCTTTCTTGCAGGAATGTCCACGAAAAGCAGAGAGCTGGACACTTCCTCCCATACGGGAGACTCACCGCACCGGCAGTTCTCCGGCAAGACACATTCGATCTTGATGGAAGACATTGTCACGAGGGAGAGCTACTGAAAGTAGCAGAGATAAAATGAAATGTAATCTCATGGAGCAAATTCAGTAAAACACCTGCCTTAAGGCCCTGGCAAGGTCTCAGGACAGATGACTTGATTAGAACTGGAAAGGCTGAACACACTTCTCCCAAATCAGAACAAGACATGCAGTGTGGCAGGAAGAGACGTGCATGCAAAAGAAGGAACGGCAGCTAGGAGAGAACATGAAACATCCTCAGTCAACCTACCGGTGACTTTTTTTCCCAAGCTATCTTTAAAAAAGAAAGAAAAGTGACACTTTGACCTCCACACCTTGGCGCTAGTGACCCTCAGAGAGCTGGCTGCTGGGACAGTGCAAGGCTGCCCTTTATGCCGGCACCCTTGGCCCCAAGGTGGGTCAGGAGGCGTGCAGCTCTCCCATTGGTGGCCTCTCTGCGAGTCTGCAGGTGCCTTCTCCTGCCACACCCCCCTCCCAACTGTTGGTGCTGTTAATTCCCTTCTCTGACAGTTCAGTTTGGAGGCCAGGGCTGTCCTCATCTTTCTTTCTCTCTTTCTCTCTTTCTTTCAAGTCTCGCTCTGTCGACCTGGCTACAGTGCTGTTGTGGCGTCGTCATAGCTCACAGCAGCCTCAAACTCTTGGGCTCAAGCGATCCTCCTGCCTCAGCCTCCCGAGTAGCTGCGACGCCTGGACAATTTTTTATATTTTTAGTAGAGACGGGGTCTCGCTCTTGCTCAGGCTAGTCTCGAACTCCTGAGCTCAAGTGATCCTCCTGCCTGGGCCTCCTAGAGTGTCAGGATGACAGGCGTGAGCCACTGCGCCCCGCCCTCATGTGCATTTTTCTGAACTGCACTTTTATTTTATTATTTATTTATTTCATTCTCTGTGTGGTTGATTTCTTCGAACTGCATTTGTAGCACTATGCTCATGGGTGACAATACGCTGAATTAGAACTATCGTCCATTTTCAAACTGAGCCAGGGGAAGAGGCGGAGGAAGAGCCCCGGGCTGGGCCCCTGCGCGATTTCTTGCTCCCTAGGCAGGCACCGCGCCAGTTTGGCAAGGAGTCTAGACCTCCGTGGGCAAGGAACATTCTATGCTGGGACTTTAGGCCAGAGACTATGACCAGTGAACTCTGAGAACAAGAACAACGATCAGACAAGGAGAAAAAATCAGATAAGAATTCCACGTGGGAGAGGAAAGACAGGCGACTTTCAAAAGCCGCCTTTCTCTTTCCCGAACTGCGCCCTGAGCAGGCAGGTTTCCAGCGAAGATAAAAACTGCTCCCATCCCCGTCCGTCCTCCTGGGCATCCCGTGTATCTGCTTGGAAGCAAGTGGTCCCACACATGCGTGGGCGAATGAATGGGGGGGGAGAAGGAAAATAATCTTTGGTTTAATCTTTCCTTTAACAAACCACGTTAAAAAAAAAACCACACAGCTCAAACCGGTCTCAAATACGGACTGCCCAGGGCTGGTAGCATTTGGAATGTTCAGCCGCTGCTAAAACCGGGCTCAGACTCCAAAGGCCTTGGTGCTATCAATCTTAGATAAGGCCCAAGATCAGAAGCGTGACTTTTGCAATAGCAACTTTTAACCCCACGCTCCGTCGTGCAAGCTGGGGGCTGCCAAATGTCCCATTTCTGCCTGGGCAGTCGGGAGCGGGGACGGGGCGTCTCGTGTCCCCGCTGCAACCAGAGTACCTGTGCGGGTGAGGGGCCTCCTCGCGATCTGGTAGCGCCGCTGCGGCCTCGGCAGATGGCGACAGCTACCGCGAGGCACTGGGAAGCTGGAGGTTGAGCCCGCCTCGTTCCCGTCCCCGGCGCCGGCCTCTGCCGAGGGCTCACAGCCAGCCCAGCCAAGCGGGCTGCGGGTCCCCGGCTGAGGACGGGGCATTCGGCCTCCTTCTGGCCGCCCCTGGTCGCGAGACCAGGCCAAGCCGAGCGGGTCATGCTCTGCTGTCACCCGGCCTTTCCTCTCCAGGGAGGGGGCGGGGAGGCCGACCTGACCTGGGCACTCACCGGGCTGGGGACTTCTGTTGCGCTCGAAGGTCGGGCAGCCGAGCGCGGGGGGGAGAAGCCCCGCCCGGGACACGTGGCTTGGCAGGTGGATTGCCCCGGCCTGGGACCCACTGGCACTCAGCCCACGCTGCGACCCTTTCCTCTCCTGCGGCTGGAAGGATCTTGCAAAGCCACCCGGGCAGGGGCAGGGATGGTGGGTCGAGGCTTGGGGCCCAGTGAACCTCAGCTTTGGAGTTGGGATCGATGATCTAAAGTTTATCTCTTACTTAAACCAAAAATAGTTGTTAAAATGCCTAACAGAGAGATTAGGATGGGGTTCTGAGACACAAACAGGTTAAAAAGGAAAGAACAATGCGGTTAAACAACTCCACCCTAACCCCTGTGGACAAGGCCCTGATGGCTGGAGGCCATCTCTTTCTTGCAAAACGTTTTTGTTGGGGGAAGAGGAAAGGCTTCATTTGATTTGATTTTCGAATCATACAGAATAAACGATCCTAAACCCCACTCAGCTTCCTTCTCCCCCTAGAGCCTAAATGGGTCTGGTCCTGCCGCCTGAACATCCCGACTTTCTCTAAATAACCTACAAGTTTAAAATATGTTTTTAAAAAGTAAAGGAGGTTCTTCTGGGAAGAGGCATCTAAAAAAAAGAAAGAAATACAAAAGTAAGGGAGGGAGGTACTTGCCCCCGGGGGCTGGGGGCAGGGAGTAAGTGCCAAGGGCGGTCAGGAAACTTTCTGGGGTGATGGAAATGCTCTGTCCTGGCAGAGGTTCGAGTTGCACAGGTGCAGGTACTGTAGAAATCACCCAGGCGCACACTTGAGATCTGTGCATTTTATTGGATGTACGGAATCCAGGGTCTGTATCACCTTTTTATTTATATCTCTCAATCTAGTGCCCCATTCCTTGCATTCCCCACTATCCTAAAACCCCTTAGTGCACTCGAGTCACAATTATTTTGTCATTCCAATACCCTCTCATGCACCAAAGAGGAAGGGCCAAAAATCAATATGCAAAGGCACCGGAAAACCCAAGGCAAGCAGGACATGGTTGGAGCAACCTCAGCTCAAAGTTTAATGTTAGTAACTTAGAATAACTCTCACTGAGGGCCTCAGTTAGTTTCTGTTCACCCTGGGATGTGCTTCAGACAACTGCTCTCCCATGTCCCCACTTGCAGATGGGAAAACACGAGTCTACAAAGTGAGGAGACTCCCAAAGCCACACGCGTAGCTGGGAAAACTCTAGCAGATAGCCCAAATCATCAGTGGAAACATAAGAACTGGAAAGACACTTTCTTGGGTGGGGCAAAAGAGTGAGATTTTGACCCCCAGATGTTGGGCTCAGTCGTACCCTTTCTCTAAGAAGTCTCTTCCTGTCCCAAGGCTTCCTGTTCTTCCTCAATGCTGACGACTCTCTGACCTGTATCTCAGCCCAGATCTCTCCCCAGGGCTACAGGCCTATAGATCCAACGCTCTCAGCAGCTCAACTGAACTGTCCGAAACCAATCAAATTATTCTCCCCCAACCTCCGAAGCACTCTGTCTTGGTGAATGGGACCATGGTGCAACCAATGGACTGTGCAAGCTCTGACACCTCACTAGACTCATCTTGCTCCCTAACTCAAGTTCAGTTAGTCACCAGATCATAGAATTGTCCCTTTAATGCTCTTCTGACCATGTTGGCACTGCCTTAATTCATTCAGGCCTTCCTCATTTCTTTGCCCAGACTGTTGTCATCTTCCTGGAAGCCATGTCTCATCTCTTTGGTTATTTCGGATCTGCTGCCAAAATGACCTGCTAGATCGTGAGTCCTGCAGGACAGGGGCTGCGTCTTATTACCCTCATGTCCCTGTCCCACCACAGTGCTGATACGTAGAGGTTTTCAACTATATGCTTTTTTTTTTTTTTGCAGGGAGGGATACCTTTATTTAGAAAAAATTTCAGTCTTACAGAAAAGTTGCAAAAATAATATAAAGAGGCCGGGTGCAGTGGCTCATGCCTGTCATCCCAGCACTTTGGGAGGCTAAGGCAGGAGGATCACTTGAGCCCAGGAGTTTGAGGTTGCAGTGAGCTGTGATCTGGCTATTGCCCTCTAGCCTGTGAGACAGAGCGAGACCCTGTCTCAAAAAAAAAAAAAATTCATCATTACCCTTCACCTGGATTCTCCAAATGTTAACAGTTTACCACATTTGCTTTATTTATCCTTCTCTCTCTCATTTACATATGTAATTTTTTTTCTGACCAGTTTGAGAGTAAGTTGCAAACGTGATGTTCCTTTACCTCTAAATACTGTACTTCAGTGTGCATATCTTGAAAACAAGGACATTCTCTTCTATAACCACAGCACAATTATCAAAATCAGGCAATTAACATTGATACAGTATTATCTAATTGCATTTCACCAATTGTCCCACTAATGTCCTTTGTAATAAAAGGAGAAAAAAAAAGTATTGTGTTTCTAGATCCAATCCAGGGTAAAGCATTGCATTTAGCTGCATTTAGCGCCCTTTAATCTGGAACAGCTTCTCAGCCTTTCTTTTTTTTGTTTTTTTTTTTTTTTTTTGAGACAGAGTCTCACTCTTTTGCCTTGGCTAGAGTGAGTGCCATGGCGTCATCCTAGCTCACAGCAACCTCACACTCCTGGGCTCAAGCAATCCTTCTGCCTCAGCCTCCCGAGTAGCTGGGACTACAGGCATGTGCCACCATGCCCGGCTAATTTTTTCTATATATTTTTAGTTGTCCGATTAATTTCTTTGTATTTTTAGTAGAGACGGGATCTCGCTCTTGCTCAGGGTGGTTTCGAACTCCTGAGCTCAAACAATCCGCCTGCCTCGGCCTCCCAGAGTGCTAGGATTACAGGCGTGAGCCACCGCGCCCAGCCCTCAGCCTTTCTTTGTTTCAAGACATTGACATTTTTGCAGCTCAGAATGTAGGATTTGGGGTTATTTGATTTTTTTCCTCATGGTTGATTCAGGTTATGTCTTTTTGGCAATACTACAAAAGTGATGCTGTATCCTCAGCATCTGGAGGCAAACAATATAGATTTGTTAACTTTGATCACAATATATGGCTATTGAATCTTTGCAAAATACAACCTAGTCATAGCACCCCACGATGGACCCCAAGAGCATGCAAGGCCCTTCAAGCTTGCTGGTAGTCCCTTCTTGACTTCTGTCGTGTTCTAGCCACATACTCTGCTTCTTGCCTTTGAACTTGCTGTTCCCTCTGCCTAGAACACTTTTCTCCAACCGCTAATGAAAGCCCTACCTCTGCACTGGGCTAATTCTTACCTAAGAGTCAACTGAATG